ATATATATATATATATATATATATATACATACATATATATATATATATATATAATCGTACGTTTTAGGCACTTAAACTGTAGAATAATAATAATAATTATAATAATAACAACAATAATAATACAACAATATTAATAATAATAGTAGTAGTAGTAGTAACAATAATAATAATAATGACCAATAACTAACACAGGTATCACTCAAGCCAAGTCTAAAACAACCCTAAAAGTTACCCTTAAAGTATTCATAAATTACAATCTCAGCAAACTTGTGTATTTACCTTCGGTCTATCATTTGGTAGCACTTCTTCATCCAGGTAAAGCCAGGCATCCTCCTGCGAGGTGTGGCACCGTTCAGGTACACAATCATGTAATCCTCTGCCACCATTAGTTCCAAGGTGCTTATAACATATCTGCCACAAGAAGGGAAGAAACATCTTTAACAATGGACAATTTCTGTGCGAACTGCAACAGAATGCAAAATGAAATCATCTTGTCAAGTTACAGGTGTATTAAGTTGTATAAAGCTTTATTTTTTGTTTATGTTTAGAATTTCATGAGCAACTGTAGCTTCAAATACTACACTCATACGACATTCATATGGAAGTTGTGAATGAACTGACTGAAAAATATTGTGAGCTCTGCAATGAAACCTTACTTACAGAAATAAGTTTTCCATGACATAATTATAATTGTCACAGTCGCTGTCTGGCAGGAAACATGCTGCAAAGACAATGATGGCATTCTGATCAGCGTAGTAGCCTAAGAGATAAAAAAAACACAAAATGACCCTTAGCCAGTATCCCATTAGAGTGTATATTTCATGTATGTTTGAGGACACCAATGATGTCTTAAATTACCTTTTGTGCTCACCTTAGTTATCAACTCATTCAAGTCTTACCAGTTATGCCACATTACCAATAAAAACCTGATACTTTCCCTAATTTTTACACATGAGGATATAATGCAGCAGCACAAATGATTTCATCTTACCACCATGAGAAATTACTCTTTTGTATGGCTCGATGCTCTTCATATCGATGCGATGCTCATGTTCTCCAATTACCACGCTCCTCCACAGTCTGCTGTCTCTGCCATTGTCTGCTGACTGACGTCTAGGAAGGATGTCGTCTGTAGCTGCTGCTGCACCATGACGAGCCTCCTCTGAGCCCTCTGGATGATGTAAAGAAATGGATAAAATACAACTTCCGTTCAAGATAACACATAAAAAGTTACAACCAAAACAACTGTTGTAATTTTCAAACTTTTGATGCTGCCAGTGTGTGTGTGTGTGTGCAGTATTCCCCCGCCTGATACTTTATCTGTGTTTCTTCAATGTGCTGTATGTCTCACCTGGTCTGTTTAACTCCAGGGAGTCAGCCTCATCTGATGTGTCTAACTCGTCAATGTTGATGTCAAGGTCGTCTCCAGTGTCCAAGTCATCGTCTGTGTCCAGAGCGTCTTCTGAGAGAATAGACCCTTCACTGTGCTCCAGGGACACGTTCAGTGGTGGAGCTGCCAACTTTCTTTTGTGATTAGAACTGCCCGCCGACACGTCTCCTAAGGAGAGAGGATCTGTGCAGGTAGAGAATTAACATTTCATGTAGTGTATTAATGAGTCGTGTCCATCACGTTGACATCACTGTAGTTCTGAAAGCAACTCTTAATGTGTGCTAAAAGACAATGTAAAATGACTAAATGACAGTATGAAGCTATATTTGGAGTTTTAATCCTGCATGTTGTTCGTGATATTGTTTCGTATTAACAATTCCATCATTTGGATTAGATACATTATTAGTTACCGGTGTAAAAGTCATAGATTTACCTGCAGTTTTTTACCTTAATTTTCTGGCAATATACAGTTTTTTTTTTTTCACTTTTAGCAATGCTGATTTATTTGATTAATCATGATTAATTATGAACATGATTAATCCACAGTTTCACTGTGATCAATCAAATAAGAATAAAACCAAAAACATAACAGCCCTGATTTATATATATATATACAGTATATAAATCAGAAACCAGAGCGTGGTATATATATACACAGCAACAGTCTTTTTTAGTGTAGTTTTTATAGCTTGGTTACCTTCTCTATTATCCTGCACTTCAGCTGTTTCCGCACCGGGGACCTTCGTGGTCATCATCCCTGATTCACTGTCTCCCTGTTGGGAGAATCTGCTCAAAGGCACAGAAAGACAATAATGAGCCACAACATAAATTAACGTGGCCATTACTATAGCTACCATAGGCACAGCTAGGCATATTATTGGCCCAAACAAGCTAAAGAAGAACATCTATAGAGCTCAAGAATCTAACTTGTCCCATTACATTGAATGTGAAAGAGTCTGTTTCTGTCATTTCACACATGAAATATTAAGGAAAGACCACAGACAGACAGAAAGCTACTCACTGCTTCATTCCCAGGCTGCACGTGTGGGTGCAGGAAACAATAGCTGTTTTGAGCTGTTTTGAAACCTCCCCCTACCACAGACCCTCTGACAGACCCTTATTAGCATAAGGCCCGCTAACAATAGAGAGGCTAGACACAGAATCAACTACATGTTTCTAAATATGAAGAAATACACACACACACACATTCTTACACAGTCACACACCTCCACGTATTTAAGCTTCTAAAATGTCTGTCTATGGTCCTCTGCTCCAGCCGAACTGTGGTCTCTGACCAGTGAATGTGGTTTAGCCTCTTTCATAGTCAAGTCACGTGACCACTTGATTATGAAAATGTCTTGTGTGTACGTGTCATACACACACACATGCAAACAGTGCAAAAGATGGGATGGTTGTGTATGTCAGAGAGAGTGCAGGACATTTGAATCACAAAGGGGGGCAAATTAAGCACAGTGATGCATCTGCTAATGTGAGGCATGTGAGAGTGGAGAGGGTGGTGATATTCTCTGTTGTGGGTGTGTACATCAGCCTGCATTGTTTCCCTTTTTAGGTGCTGAGTTTTCTTGGATGGGCATCTCACACCTACCGTTTGATTGACTCATTAGTGACAAGAGGTATTTAAACATGGCTTCACCATGGAACCAGCGCTAGAGTGTTGCCATTACAACCTAGGTGGAGGAGGTTCAGTCAATTTCCCCATGAATTGGTTCTCTATTGATAATCCATATTTGTTTTGTGGATGTTTGTCCAGGATTTTTGGAACACGTTTCAACGGAGGGTGAAGATTTGGCACCTTGGGATTTTCTCACTGCCACGTGGACACTCTCTTTGTTTGTTGAAACTTTTGTCACTGTTCACTGCAAACTCCGAAAAGTTCGGAATAAACTCTGTGCACCTAACTGTTGCTCTCAGTGATTTTGCTTTTGGGTCCAGTTCTCCATTCTAACTGCTCAGACGGAGCATACGTAACAGCTAATGAGGAACAGTTGTACAGTAGGACACAAACACACAGACACACGCCCCCTTTAGGTCAACATTTATACTTAACTTGATTAAATAACACTAATTTGGTCTAAAACGTCTTACATCAAACATACTAAGAAAAAACACTAAAATTGAATTCTACTTGGTGGGTTATGATATTAAAGAACCTTTGCCCTTTATGTTTTGCTATGTACAAAATATATAAACAATACATATACTGTATATGTATAAATACATATACAGTATATGTATTTTATACAAATGTATATAATAATATATACTTCCAGTTTTACAGTAGATTTTCCAGTAAAAGTAATACATTAAAATACATTTGGTTCATAAAAAATGGCTAACTACTAGGTCTTACTATACATTGGACATTAAAGAGTTTTGTTTTTTGCAATATTTGTACATGGGCTGCTGACTCCAATCATTTTTTTTATGTCACATAGTTGTAATGGGGCAAGACTAAGTTATATTCTCTAAAAAAGCTCAGAAGATATAGAATACAAGTGCAACCCACCCCAGTAGTTAAAGAAAACTGTACAATATCTGGCATTTACACAATTGTGTTTACACAACCTTGCTGACCTCTAACAGCAGAGCTACATGCTTGAAATGACCTTCTCTTTTTCGTAATTAGCACATGCTGCATTATCAAAGCAAATGAATCAAAGCTCACCTTGAGAGCAGAAAGTGAACGTATCCCTCTGGCACATAGCTGACATGATCCTCCCTCTCAGTGTGCACATCTGATTGATAGCTGGGTTGGTAGTGAGGAGGATCAGCCTCATACTGATACTGGTCTTTATCCTGATACTGAGAACACTGGGGTTGAGAAGACACGGAGCTGGAGTCCTCTCCAAAGTGCCTCTCCACTCTGTACTGTACCTTAGAATTATCCAAAATGTATTCAACACCAGCCCTGTGTTCATAATATCCCTGCATCTGCTCACAGCCATGAAGTACAGCTGTAGTCTCACTGGTAAATTCAGCATAGACATCAGTGCTGTTTGGCAGGCTGCTGGGTCTGGTTGCTCCACAAGTCAAATAAATGCCCTGGTTTTCAGTTCTTTGGTCGATGTGATGGTAGTTGTAGCCGTATTGTGGTTGACCCTGAGTTACATGGTGAGTTTCTGTCCACTGATAGGCAGCTTCCTCGTTTGTTGGTTGTGATGATGCATTCTGATGTCTCCTTTCAGGGATCATGCATGGAGATTGGGGGGAATTGATAATACAAGTTAATTGCAGGGAAGCCTTGTGCATATGGTTGATTTTTTTCAATGTGATAAAATGAAGAAAAAAAAATCTCAATTCCAAAAAATGCAGTAATTTGTGCAAGAGGACTACACATATATTTGTTAGAAAAACCAAACTATGTGTGTGTGACACTGACTGATATCCCATGTCTTCCTAGAAGATTAGAAAAAAACCCTGTATAATCTACAAATAACTAGCTGCCAAAGACTCACATTACAACACCTACTGTAATATATACCTTTCTTAAACAATGTCTTGATATAATCATAAAATTATTATTTAAAAATAGAATGGAAGTCCAAGTGATTCATACTGTAAAACATTTTTTTACGAGGACAATATTGAAATGTCATATATTTGGCCAATGTTAAGTTGAAACTGAACTATGATATGAACATATTTAGAACATTTCTTCTTTTTCTTTCGGCTTTGTCCCTTTTTTCAGGGGTTGCCACAGCGAGTCATTGATTTACATCTCTCCCTGTTCTCTGCATATTCTACACTGACTCCAACTATCTACATGTATCCACTGTCCCTCCTCTGCACATGTCCAAACCATCTTAATCTGGCTTCTCTAGCTTTTTCTCCAAACCTTCCTGTCTGTGTTGTCCCTCTAATGACCTCATTCCTGATCCTGTCCATTCTTGTCACTCCTAAAGAGAATCTTAGCATCTTTAACTCTGCCACCTCCAGCTCCGCCTCCTGTCTTCTGCCTATTGCTAGTGTCTCTAAACCATACATCATGGCTGGTCTCACCACCGTCCTGTAAACCTTTCCCTTCACCTTAGCTGACACTCTTCTGTCACAGATCACTCCTGACACTTTTCTCCAGCTGTTCCATCCTGCCTGTACTCTATTCTTCACCTCTCTTCCACAGTCTCCGCTGCTCTGAACAGTTGATCCTAAGTACCTAAACCCCTGCACCTTCACCTCCTCTGCTCCTTGTAACCTCACTATTTCACTGTTCTTCATTCCTCTTCTTTCTAGTGCAAACCTCCACCTCTCTAGGTTCTCTTCTAGCTGCTGCCTACTCTCACTACAGATCACAATGTCATCTGCAAACA